ACAGTAAAACAGTAACAAATATGACAGTAAAACAGTAACAGATATGACAGTAAAACAGTAAGTAAGAAACATACCCGAACACAACGGTCTTGTCAATGTTCTCAGCAATTCGTCGTAATGCTCAAAGTATTTCTCGAAGTACTCCTCATCCAGACAATAATGAACGCACGCCTCCTGTATCATTATCATTATTATCGCATCATATTCTATCACTATTCAATAAACAAACCTCAGCCCTCATCTGCCCCGTCCAAACGTACAGAATCGCTCTTACAAGCCTCTTTTTTGTCGCTGCACTCACGTCGCTTCCTTCAACACTTCGTTCGGCAACTGATCGATGCCAATTCGTAACCGATTCGTCGAAATTCTCCTCACTTTCATCTTAAATCCCTTTTCCGACTTAAATTACAACAACAACAACAAATAATAACAATAATAATAATAATACCAGATTCCTCACTGCAATCGATATCCTCATAATGAATATCACTATTATCACTGTCCTCGGTTGCCTCATCAAACCCATCCATAAACGATATCTGTTCATTGGCTGTGCCTTCACCATCTTTCATCTTCAATTTACATTCATTATTGCATACTAATCACAAAACAAACCTGAGCACTCACCAACTCAGCACTGACCAAACGTCGAATGCTTTTTGGTTTGCGTTTCATCGAACTGCTTCCAACTGCGAATCGCGACGCATTCTTCTCAGTTGAAGACGAACACACGCTGTTGTGCTCTTAACCGTCACCAAATCATCAATAACAATAACACAACACTCTTTCAGCTCACCTGCATCTCGTTGTTGTTGCATTTTCGCAGTCAAATTCAGCAGCACCTCGTTCAATTTACCTCCACTTCTCTTAATATTGCTGCTACTGCTACTGCTGTTCGGCTTTACATCATCCTTGTGATCCGTATTCCAAACAACTTCACCACTGCTGCCATGACCTTCATCATCGTTGTATTTTGACGTTGTTAACTTCAATATCATACTCAGCTCATTATCAATGACAATCATTAACCACAGCAAATAATAATAAAACCTCACCAAAACTGGAATTTCTATTTGCTTCGGAAGCTCCATATCGCGCCGTTTGTCCAATTCTAACAACGCATTCGTTGCCGCTTGACGTGCACGATGAAAATATGTTTGTACTGTAGTGAATGGAATCTGAAAATTCACATTATTTATTGTACTTGAACATTACCTTTCATAGCAATTATATATTATAATAATAATCACCGAATGCTGTGCGGACGCCGCCTTGATGGTTCTTTTACCGCTGAGCGCATCAGAAACTGCCAAATACAAACGCTCCTTTTTATTCAAATCATCGTACTGACACGACGATACTGTTGTCCAAATAGCCGCTTCCATGGCTTTAATACACAACTATTCAATAAACAAGCACTAAAGAAATCTTCAAAAGCATTCGATGAAAAAGGCAAATTCAGCACGTAGTTCTTCCCTTACAGATCACTGCAAAAATCAGTAAGGACCTCCACTAATATCCATCCACAATTAATAAATAATTAGTACTCGAAAACATCCAAGTGTCACATGAAAAATGAAATGAAATCGCGAAAAATGTCTTCAAAAGAGACAAAATAAAGCAACTAACCATTCGCGTGCTTCTTCCAATATGATGACAGGTCAACTGACCTACAAAATGGTACTTTCCTAAGAGCAGCGTATGCATCCACACTACCAACTACCCCACTATAACCGCTTTCATCGTTAGCAGTGACAATATTACCGCCACCATCTGCTTCGGTTTCATTCTTGATACCATTCGACAATAACACATGTTCCTGTTCGCTGAATCACCTTTATTAAAATCACCTCTTTCAAAATCACCTCAACAATAACTACTTACTTTACTGCACCACCACTCAAATATGCACCAGCTCCATCTTGCAAACCACCACAAAACTCCGTCATCGTATCTAAAAAAATAAAACTAAACTAAAAACATCCACTTCTCTCCATCACAATCACACAAACTGCTCATTCAATTCGGCACTGGTGCAGTTTAGTAACTACACCGAAACGCAGACAAGCGCGGGCTACGGCTAAATTTCTGATCTACCCGTAACAATTAATTAATGCTAATAATTAGTACATCATAACATTATTTATTTAAAAAATAATGACATCCATTCGGGTTTACGACAATTGACCACGCGACAACTGTCAGCAGGACGTTTAGCCAACCTGTAGTCGGTCATACAAACTTCGTTTGGCTTCGCTTTTTGAGCAATGCGAACGCACGTTCACCATTTTGTGTGTGTAATATAAAATGCAGATTATGTGATATATTTTGGTCATATGTCGTAGACTGAGGCCATGCTCAGACTGATCAGTCTACGACACATGGTCGTATGTCGTGGACTGGGGCTATGCTCAGGCTGAGGCCATGCTCAAACTGAGGTTAAGCCTCAGCCTAATGTGTATTACTGAGGCTCAAGCTGAGGTTGGGGCTACGCTTAGGCTGAGGCAGGAACTAGGCTTAGGCTTAAGCTGAGGCCATGCTCAGGCTGAGGCTAAGCCTCAGTAATACGCTTTTTATACCACACACACACAAAATGATGAGCACGCGTTCACATTGCTGAAAAAGCGAACCGAGACGAAGTTTGTGTGACCGACTACTTGTTGGCTAAATATCGTGCTGACAGTTGTCGCGTGGTCAAATGTCGTAGACTCATCTGTCCCGTTTGTATATTTTTAAATAATATTATTTTTATTGCTAACATTATTGAAATGCTGAATGGGTGAATCTTTTAATCAGCGTAAATCGAGGCATACACGGTGAGGGAAACGTAAAAGCTAACAGATAAATATTCTGAATTAGCGATTGATGTGTTGTTTATTTATTGAAATACCCGTTAATGTTATGTTTATGGTTGTTGTCATTGCAGTTACTAAAACGATCACGAGAGAGTGGCTCTTAATTAGTTCTTGTTATATCAGTTGTTAATAATGGGCGAACAGCGGTCGTCATCATTACGCGGCGGTAGTGTATTGAATCGACCGAATCTAAAGTTAAATTTTCCACCGAAACCAGATCTGGTCACATCACCACAATTGTAAGTGAATTCGTTAGTGTGCTAGTGAAAGTGTTGATTAAACTTGATTCCATTTGCAGAGAATATTTACGGTCACATTCCACCGGACAATTGAAATTCTCTCCGAATGAAGTGTACAACTTTACGAGTGCAGATCTGATTGATGAAGCGCAGATTGGACGTGGAAATTTTGGTACTGTGAAAAGAATGTTGCATAAACAGTCGGGACGAGTTTTGGCTGTTAAAGTGAGCATACTTCTTGAATTGTTTTTTGTTTTGGTTTATTATATTGTTTAAGGACGAGTTAATTTATTGCATGATGGATTTTGTTTGTTTCAGTTGATTCGATCTAACACTGTCAATGAAACCGAGAAGAAGTTTTTATTGATGGAGCTGGAAGCTATTATGAATAGTGATTGTGAGAATATTGTGCAGTTTTATGGAGCAATTTTTTGTGAGGTAGGTTAAAGTAATGGTAGATGTTCATAAGTTTGATATGCATGATATAATGCATGATATCATTTATGTATGATATAATTCTATCTGAATATTGCCTAATAAATGAAAGAAACCCATATTGCTCACCCTCAATCCTCTCTTCATTTACTAATAACTTTGATTGATCCGTTATTCTTTACCATATTATTGTTACTTTGTATTGTTTTAAGGGAGCGTGTTGGATTTGTATGGAGATGATGGATTTGTCATTAGAGAAGCTTTATAAAATAGTTTATGAGAAGCAGAATAGCCAAATACCAGAGCAAATTATTGGTTACATAGCTGTTTCGGTTGGTGGTTCTCTTTGATGTTGATCTTATTGAGCTTAATTTGAGTACAGTAATGGTGAATGATGTTGTTACAGACTGTGAACGCACTGAGTTATCTGAAGGAACACTTGAAAATTATTCATAGAGGTGATTTCAAGCAAATATATTCTTTATTTGTTTAATTTTTGTTAGTGATATTCGTTTAGTTGCTTTTTTATTATTATTATTGTTATTGTGTTGTTGAAGTGGAAATAATTTTAGATATAAAGCCGTCAAATATTTTATTGGATCATAAAGGATTTATAAAATTATGTGATTTCGGTATTGCTGGCCACTTAATAGATTCAATAGCAACGACACAGGACGCAGGATGTAGACCTTATATGGCAGTTGGTTTTATTTATTTATTTTTNTAATTATCGTTTGTTTACTTTGATAATTTTAGCCAGAACGACTGCAGTCAAATCAACCGTATGATGTGCGTTCAGATGTTTGGTCGCTTGGGATAACTTTGGTGTGTGTTTATTTATGATTATTTGCTTGTTTATTTATTATTATTATTATTATTATTATTATTATTATTATTATTATTATGAATGAAAATTCAGTTCGAGATTTCAACTGGACGTTTCCCGTTCACAGCATGGGGATCTCCATTCGAGCTGTTGCAGGAGGTGGTGAATGGAGATCCTCCAGTAATGCAATTAGGCAACTATTCAGCGCATTTGGTGACATTCGTAAATAATTGGTAAGTTGATTGATTTATAGCAGTGCTGTTGTTAATGATAAAATTTGGTGTTGCAGTTTAATAAAAGGTCGTGAAGAACGTCCGAAATACCGAGATCTGATGGCGATGGAATTCTATAAGACGTATAATTTGAAGAATGATTCAGAGGTGTTGAGTGCACGTGATATGATTGGTGAATTTGTGCGTGAGGCATTGAAATGCGATCGTGATAGTAGTTTATTGGATGAGATTGATAACGATGAGGAGAGTTTGTTTGAGATGTGCAGCGTGCAAGCAGCACCGTGCCAAGCGGTTAAGAACCGTTCCGAGTGGGTGCAGTTTTCGTGAGCTGGTTAGCACTCTGTGTTGGTGTTTTTTATAAGTTTTATCTTGTGATGATATCCGATGTTGCGTTTTTCGGACTAACAGTGTAATTTTATTTGTAATTATGTTATTATTATTATTATTATTATAAATTTACAGTTATTGTTTTGATTTGATTTGAAATGATTATGCGTAATGGTTATGTGATCACAGTATGATCTAATTTTTGATTATTATTCATTCCGATTTTCTTAATTTTCATTTTTTTGAGTATTTAAAGCCAATTGGTGTATGGATCTGATTGTATGAATTATTCTCGAGGAAAGTTCCCATAATCAAGCTCGTTCCTTGTAGTAAATTGTTTTGTTTTTGTAGATAGAAATTTTGTGTCTATGAATATATTGGATGCATAAAGAATAATTTTGATTATTTTCGTACTCTTCAGCTGTGTAATATTAATGGATAACGACCTGATATCCATTAGTTGTGCATACATAGTTAATTTTTGAGAACAGCAGATATATTTCACATCTAGATGTGTTAATTGTAGTGTAATAATATGAGACGTATCGTGAAAAAGTGAAACCGGATTGGATTAAGATAATTGTAAGATCAGGTGCAGCTCTAGGAACTTAGGCTGAACGTTAGCCTCACGATGAATTGTAGCATATTCAACATTGTCTGAGGCAAAGTTTTGGGGATTGTAGCATATTCTTGAAGGGGAATTGGTATAATTTAGTGGTTAACGATTGAGTGAAACTAGTTGTTGAAGATTATCTCGAGTTGTTAAGATCGGAGAGGTGCGCTCGCGTTGAGTAGATATGATTCGGTAATGAGGACTTAGAATTAAGTTTATACTGACCTAAGCAGCAGTTGTACTGCCAGCATTTGTTGAGTTTTTGCAGAGGTTATCGTTGTTTTTATTATTGTAATTTTATTATTTTTATTGTGATTGTTATATTTGAAATTGTATGCTTTCTGAATTGCAGTGAAGTGGTTGAATGGAGTTGTGGAAATGTTATGAAATACTTAAAAATAAACAATTTAAACGATATATATCTCTCGAGAATATGCCATGTAAGCTTTATTTGATTCATTATTCATTATGATGAAGCATGAAGTAATCTCGTATAAAGGCTAGTAACTGAACGGTATGTCACTGCGAGCAGATGCAAGCAAATTTATGTTGAAACGACCAAAACCACCTCACTGCAAGAGCCACGAATATCTCCAGGAAGGTACTCTTGCTTCCTGTGAGATATTTCCGACTCCGGTGAGATTTTTCTGGTCGAAGGGAGATACTTTTGGTCCCAATGGCCAAAAGTATCCATCTGCCTGAGTTCAAATGTGCTTCGGTGAGACCAAAATTAGTTGCAATAGTAAGAGAATGAATGAATACAGTTGTAGTAATATGAGGGATAGCATAAGTTGTAAACGAAACGATGCTGCTGTTATTATTGTTTTGAGTGTTGGTGGTTAAAGCTAAAGCATAAATAGTGGATAAAGGATAGATAACCAGCAGCAGCAGCAGCAGCATTTGATTTATGTTAGTTAGGTTGGAAGAGTGTTAGAATGCAAATAGCGTGTGTTATTTATTGTTCATTTGCATAGAATTATTATGAGATGAGGTTTAGGGTTGAGGTTTGGCTTTGTTGTGTTTAGGATTAGATTGATTGCAAGAGCAGAGATAAGTGCTTGCACATAGTAGTATGAATTATAGTTGGTACCACATTTATCGAATGTGTTTACACTTGAGATGTTGTATGTATCATGTTGATTATTAGTCATTACTATACGTATAAATGTGTTTATTTTGACACATATAGTTATCATAATATAATGAAATATGAAATAGTTTAAGTGCACGTAGCAGCAGTTGATTATTGTAACAAGAGTGATTATTCAGGTTGCTCGTCGTATCGCTGCTTGTGCTGTGTTGCTGCTGCTAGCGCTATAATTGCTTGTGTATAAAGTATTATTTTATGACGACATCTTATTCTTACTGCGATTTGTATTAAGAAGTAATGCGAAAACGAGCATCATTCAATTTATCGCCGTCTTCATATTCAACTTCAGCTCTACCTTCGTCGAGTAGTTCGATGTCATCGAACAACGGTAACGCATCTCTTTTTGAGGATTTGTATAAATTAGCATGCGCTCCTTAAAGGTTCAATATGAATTTAAATGAGGCAGGCATTAAATCTGATTCAGGCTCGAGAATGTAGGCATATGACTATTATTACTCTCACTGTTGAACATACTGTCTTAATGAGGTGTTATTGATAAGATATCAGTTGACTTGGATCAGTGTGGGATCCGAGAATGAATATCTAAGCATTAATGTTCTATTGTAATGCAATTAGTGCAGATTAATTGGTTGGTTAATGACTGTGATATGGGTGAATTGATTGAATGCTTAAGGAAGGATAAGGGTGGATTTATTCAAACGGAAACGAGTATAGTGGAACGTATTAAAGATCAAGAAGGGTGTGTGAATCCGTAGGGGATTTAGTTTTAGACATTTTTGGAGTTGTATCGATTTACTTTTAGAATTATAATACATTAACATTTGGGTGCATTCATAAACACAGGTATGTAATAATAATAATAATAATAGAACATTCGTAAAGGTGAAGAAGGCATTGAATCATCAAAACATTTCTTTTTGATTTCATTTGAATTGAATGGAATTTATCTGATATTTTATTATTATTATTATTATTCGTTAGTATTGTGAGTCATCGGACGCATCATCTGCCATAGGAATTTTTTGGGGATGTTCTGTTTGCAACAGGAAATATATATTNTTATTATTATTATTATTATTATTATTATTATTATTATTATTATTATTATTATTATTATTCAATAGATGTATATGATTATTATATTATAGAGAGAATGCTAGATAGTATAAAGATATGATGACTCTGTTAAGGAGTATTTTTTGAATATTATAACTGTTTTTAAAGTTTTGATTTGATTAAAGGGAATGTGTGTGGGTATTTATTTACTGTAGAGAGCGTAACTGATGCGGTTGCTGATAAGGAAACACCTTTATCAGTTACTTACGTGGCTTTATTGTAATCAATTTCATATTGTTATTGTGATTATTATTATTATTATTATGATGGATAGAATAATAGTTGTGATTGTAGAAATGTTCGAGGTGCCATCATTAGCTGCAGCTGATTTTGAGCTGACGGCATTGTCAACGTTTCATCCGATATCACTGAAGACACGTTTTCGGAATGCATTCAAAGGGTTCAAAGTGGGTATTACTAATTTAGTAGTATTATTATTAATGTATAGTAATGAATAAGAAGAGAAAGTTGATTGTAGCACGAGGGGAGAGAGCCATCAACAAGAGGTAAATGTAACGAGAAGAGGAGCACAACGACACTCATACATAATCGATCTGAATCTGACATTGAACAGTCGAACGGAGCAGATTATGCGCACAAGACATCATGTCCCAGTTCTATATCTACCTGTTGTGCAGCCGTATCTCCGAGCCGAACACCAGCCCAAAACGCATGCACATCTCTCTTCTCGTTTGATAGTAGTAATAATGACTCGTCGTCAAATGATTTATTGCTTAAATCAGTAAGTGAACGATAGATGAGATTTAGTTGATGAAATATCATTATTGTTTTATCAGGATATGACGCTTGAGACATCCGATAAGAACAGTTGCGTGGCAAACGCGAAGCTGCCGAAGGATTTAATCGTGGCGTTACAATTTTTTAATGAAATGATGCGTACGGATAAGACTGAGATGTTGCTCGGTAGTTTAGAGGCTATTTTTGATGCATCCATCGCATTCTTATCCAAACTTAAACATCAAGCACCGTTAATTCAGGTTATTTTTTAGTCAATTCAAGTTATCTTTTGGTTAATTCAGGTTATTTTTTGGTTAGTTCAGGATATTTCTCTTTGGTGTTTTTTGTTGATGTTTTAGAAAATATACGTTGATTAATTGATTGATTGATTGTTGTTAATTATTATTATTGTTGGTAATATCATATTAGTCAAATTTTAGAACGCATTGGTTGCATTATTGGATTGGGCTGAAAATAAATTGGAAGATTGTGAAGCGGAGCAGTTGAAAACAATGAAACGTGAAGGTGTTCGTCTTGCTGCAGATCTGCAGAAGGTTTGTAAAACAGAGAATTGTTATCATTTGTTTGGGACAGAGTCATGAAATATAGACTCTTGGAACGGGTTTACGAGATGGTACGCAGAGTGAGAAGGTGTCGTGAGAGCAAAATAATTTCAGAGAATAGCCGAACATAACAACAACGATGTGGCTTGTTGTGTGC